GGCATTTGTCATCTTGCAGCCAGATGGTCTCAGACGTGCTTTTCTCCTCCATTCTCTCCTCCGGAACAGTGATGACAGCCAGGCTAAGAAATGCCTTATCCTGGATCCAGTTTGGCTGGTATAGTTTTGATTTTGCAGTGAATTCCTCACCTCTCCTGCTAGAGGAGAGCCCTACAACCCTACTCTTGGATTTCACGGAATGGCTCAGCCCAGTTTTCCTTTTAATGGCTCATATTCTCAGTGGTTTAGACTGTGTGCTGTGTCCAGCTCCCAAGGCTCTGGTAGCAGAGAGGATTCTGCTGGGCTTATCCCATCCCATCCTCTCCTGATCAGACTCCTTGAAAGGTTTGTTTTCTTGTCAGGGACCTTAGTCCCTGGTAGGAACTTAATCTCATCCCCAGGTCCTTGGTGGGATGGATTTCTCCCCTATTTGGGTTGGTGACTGGCCTGTGTTCAGAACAGCAGCACTGATACTAAAATATTATGGAAGAGTAAGGTGAAAAAAAAAATCAGTAATCTGGTTTTGTCTGCTCTTGGTTTAAGCTACTGGAAGGCACCCTGGAAAAAGAGGCAAATTATATCACTGAATTTATTTGCAGGTATAAGAGTTTGCAAGGCCAGACCCTGCAGCAATACCCACTCAATACTACACCCGAGGACTGTTTTTTGTTCATTCTTTATGTATATAAATTTGATGGCCTGGATGTTTTTTCTTAGTTTTTAAAAAAAAAAAATGTTGATGGGCTTTATTTTATGATGATCAGTACACGTTTCCCTGTGTACTTGTGTTAATTGCTTTCTTTGAACTGAAGGCAGACTGGATGGAAAGAATGGATGCCATCCTGAGCTGTTTCAGATGTTCTGAAACCCACTCTTTGGTGTGTATAAAACCTTGAACTGGGTGAAGATGCTTCTTGTTATTAAATATGAAGTGGATCCCAAAAAAGGCTCAGGAAGACTCAACAGCTTTTTATATCTGAAGTCTTGCATCTGCTGTCCTGGTCTATACTAGACTTGGCCTTAAAATTATGTGCCAACGTTTGCTTTTGAATCTCTTCTAAAATAGAAATGGCAACCTCCTCTGGAGCACGTGGACCTTTTGTTTTGGGGAAGAAAAGCTACAGGATCAACAGTAGGTTTAGAATAAAATGTTTGGGTTTTGTTTTGTTTACAAATGATCAGGACTTTTGATTTTGTGGTGAATAATTCTAAGTGGAGAAATGTGAGTGCTAAAAAGCAGTGTAATAATACGTCTGTGGAGCACTTTGAAGATGAAAAGCTCTATATACTGTAAACATTATTACTAGTATAGCCTAATCTGTGTGGAAAAATTAATCTAGCATGAGCTAAGTGTAGATTTTTTTTTTTAATGTACAATATAGTGTTTCAGAAAGTCTAATACAGCCGTGTATTTACTTTCACATGGTAACATAAGAAATTTATCCTTTTATATTTTTAATATGTGGGTTGCAATGGTTGATTTTGTTGTTACTTTCCAAATGTGGAGTCAGTCCTAATCCACTGCAACCTGTCAGAAATGTGAAACGTCTGGGCTGGGAGAGAAAATTGCTGTATTTTTAAAGAGGGTGTAAAAATCCTGTGCGATGAGAAATAGGTGCCTGGGAGAGATGGGAATGTTTGGGGGGGTCAGCCATCCTTCTCAGCCTTGTGCTGTGGCTTTGGAGAAGACTTGAGAGAACTCCAGAGCCAGGCAGGTGCCAGACCGTGGTGGGGAGGGAACACCTGCCAGGCTGCTCCAGATCCCTCAGCGCTCGGAGGCGTTTTCCCAGGCTCCCGGAGGAATGGTCTGTAAGAGCCGTGGGAGAGGGCTTCCCACCGCTCCACTCTGCACCACAGCAGCCTCTTGGCAGCTTCTGGAAGCTCCAGTCAGCTTGGCTGGGATTCCTTTGGAAAACAAGTGCTGCTGGAGAGTCTCACAGTAAAGAGCTGGTGTCTGATGTTTCCTCTTGGTGTCGTGGGACCACGAAACACAACAAACAGGGCAAATTCCTGTTCCCGCCCAAGGCAGCCCTCACAGGGGCCTGTTGCAGCTGGAACTCAACTGTGGCTTCTCTAGAACCTCCTCTGTCCAGTCATATTTTGGATTTTGGTGTCTGTTTATTTCATAGGGTTTGAGGGTTTTTGGTTGTTTTGTTGTGTTGCTGGTTTTGTTTTCCTTGTTTCTTTTTGGAATCTGATCATTTAGGTGCACAGTTTTGAAGTAAGAAAGAAAAAAACCTTCCACATCACTAAATACAATTTTATTTCCTTTTCTGGTAATCTACAAATGGAGGTTTGTCGGTGTTGCATGGTGAGGAGGAAGTTAAAGATTGAGCCAACTGGGTTTGCTGAGCCCAAGATCTGTGAACTTTCTACGCTCCCGAAGCAAAATTGTCTGCAGCTTGAGGTTCAAACTTCTGTGGTGGTGCTTAAAAGGAGTTAGTGATGGATCATTTGGTGTGTGTCAGTTGGTCCCTCCTTCCATGATATCACGAACAGCAGGTTTTGGTCCTTGCTGAGATCACACTGGCCCCGGAGCATAACCCACTCCATAAGCCAAGATTAGGATCGATGGTGGACCAGTCAGGAATGAAACTCATGCTGAGTGACTGTGTAGAAGCTTTAAAAAGCTGCAAGTTGCATGGGGTTGTTCTTGCAGGGCTTATTTTTTTATTTTTTATTTCATGAAGCAGAGTGGTTAATCGGATAATATATTTCTCCTAAGGGAAGCTGAAAGAGGATATCACTGGTTTTATTGTTTTTGCAGTAACTCTGACAACTTTAAAACTAGGTTTTGTGAACTCCAGCTGACTGGATTAAATCAGGTGTCACATACAAGAGGGTTTCACAACATTTGATGAGCTTTGTGATACTTTCAAAATACAAGTATCTTGAATACAATGCATCTTAATATTTTCTCATGGTTAGCAACAAGTAACAGCAAATCGTCTGTTCGGGCCTTTTCAGCCAAGTAGTAAATATTCATGCAAACTAAAATGATTTTCTAGTGTTGGTCCCTCTGGGCTGAGCTTATTAGCTCAGGTGCAACTGCCTGTGAAGGCTTTATAAGACTTTCAGACTTGAGCTGATGCTGCAAAAATAATGTGTATGGGTGTCTTGATCTCTTAGGTAATTATTTATTTGTCAGATCTGAGGTGGGTGATCTTCCACAGAACAGTGGCTGACTCAATCAAGGGCCTTTAAGAGGAATTTGAAACTTTGCTCAGTCAATCAGATATGATTAAACACTTAACCTCTCAGAGAATACCAGGACAGCAAGAAAACTGAACAGATATACCTGTCACTGATTCATAAAAGAATTGCCAGAGTGAAGTATGCTGCTTTTCCCTGTGAAAAGCAAAGATTCACATTTTTCCAAATTCCTCTCAAGAAAAATACATTTGGAGTATTACAGACAAATGGAGGTGGGAAGAAAAACTTTTAATATTTACTCTCTGTTTGAAGATTTGTTTTCCAAGTTGTACTTTTAGGATTGTTACTTTTTCAGCATTCCAAGGCCACAGTGGAGGATGCTTTTATCACACTAATAACTTGTTTATATATAGGGCAAATTCTTTGATTTGACTTAGCAGTGTTAAAGAATTGTAGATGCCAAACTGGAAATAGCTAAAAGTAATTTTCCTTAATTGTTCTCATAAACATACAGTTAATAAAGCTGATGGATTCCATCCAAATTTTTCTCTAGTGCTCATCATTTTCGAGGGATGGTTCAACTTGTCACATCTTGACTTGATCTCTAAAGGGAAGTCAAATTTTGGGTATCTTCCTGAGGGGAAGGGAAAAAAGATGGCTGATAAATTTCAAAGGGATTGATTGTGATCAATAACTGTGGTTCTTAATGAGGGGTGATGCTGAAAACAGCACTCCATGGGGAGCTTCAGACCCTGCAGCAGAGGATGTGCATTTTGGGGCTTATACCTAGAACTGAGACCTGCTTGGCACTTGCTCAGTAGAGATTGAGCCTGGAACAAGCTTTCTTTCTTTTTAAATGGTTAGGTTAGAAGAACAGCAGTAGCACTTAACATTCTACTTTTTGTGTGGTAGTCGCACCAAGGGCAGCTGCCTGCCTTAGAAGCAGCAATAATTTAAGTCTTGTAAACCCCATCCAAGTTAAGGGAAACACCTCTAACCCTCTTTTGCACTTTCCTTTCAATGAGGTGCACGGAGAGAAGGGGAGGACGAGTCCCAGTTGCCGGTTTTTTCCCCTTTCAGCGGGAGTCAGGTTGCTAAATACCTTGATGAATCAAGTGCTAACTGATTTACCCAGGGTCATTTGGGAATTTAAGTGGAACAAAAGTAAAAGCTGAATTTCCTCAGCCACAGTCCGACAGTCTCTCCTCTGTAACATAATCCTTTCTGCCCTTTCCTTACGCTCCTGGTGCCCAAGGATTTCTGTCATTCTCGGGAATAGAAGCTGAGGAAGCCTCTGTGGAGCTTACAGGTATCTGCTGCATCAGCCAGGCCAGCCCTGTCCACTTGGAGATACTGAGGGCTTCAAATATCTGCATTTCTCATCTAATTCAGTGGAGCTGGAGATAATTAAGCCCTTCCATGTTTGGGTTTTTTTAGAGCTTTGAGTTTGTCACCTTCCTCCAGAAGGCAGTTGACTAAATTGGGCATCTGTAATACTGGTGTAGAATATGTATGAAAACAGGATAGTGGCCATGACACTGGGCTGTCAAGCAGATGGCAACTCTGATAATTCATTGACTTAAATTTATTTATGTGGTTGGATTCCAGAACTCAATGGTTAATAGTTTCTGTAGATTTTTGCCTTGTATCAGATGTTATTTTCTTGAGACTCCAGTATGAGAATTCAGCAGGTTTTTTTTAAATCATTCCATTAAAGTTACGTTCTCCTTTGTGTTCTTGAGCTGCTGCTTTCTCTCAATCCTGTCTTAGCAGATGTGCAACACTGTGAGACCAGAATGCCCAAGATACCATTATACTTAATATTACCCCTTTGCTTTATGTTGCAGCCAACAGTCTCCACATCACTGCCTACTTCATGAAGAGATGGGTTAATCTCCGTTGTGCTTTAGGGAAGCGTTATCGTGGTAAGAAATCGGTTTCTTACAGAGTTACTTAGAATTTTGTATTCCTGGGAGGAAGAAAGAGAGCATAAACTTCATGATATTTTGGTCTACTTAATCAAAATCCAGGGTTTTTTTCAGAGAACATTTCCTAAAAACAACAGCAACAAAAAAGGGAAGTGTTTCTTAAGATAAGCTGGATTTTTTTTTTTTTTTTAATTCCATTTCAGATCTGTTGTATGCCTTGCCCCAGGGTAATCAGCTCAACCACACCAAATTCTGTGAATACGATGAGACTCAGCGTTTTCCTGAGTCTCTGCAGGGTGAATCAAGCAGAGGTTGCAGCATGAATCACTTCATTATTGCTGGAGTGTCTTGTGACATCAGTGGTGCAGTGCAAGTGGATGCAAGAAAGGCTCTTGTTCACCTCAGAGCTATAAAATCTCTGTGTAGGTGATGTCATTGGACCAGATTTTTTTCCATGTTTTCTCAAGCCAGGATGCTCTGTAAGGAAGTGATATCAGTCCTGTCCTGCCAACAGCAGTGCAAAGGAGCTAAGACCATCATTGCCCTTTGTGTTGACCCTTTTGTGTTAAAAGAAAGCAAAATACATTAAGTGTCTTTAAAAATATTGAATACTCGAGTGGATAATTTTAAATGATTTCTTGTTTTTATAGGAATTCAATATATTCATAAATGTTTAAATCAGTCTTCAACTAGTTGTTTTCTAAGTCCATATTGAAAAGATTGGAGTGTTGACTTTAAATAATTCATCTATTCTCGTGTTAGAATAGAATAGCAGAGTGTCTGCATTGGAATATCTACATTGTTTGCTGTGTATTAAATTTGAACTGGTTTAAAGCATCAATGAATACCCAAAGATACTTTCATTTTGTTAGCCAGCAGGTGAGATTGTTATAAAATGTAACAACAAAAATGTCTAACTGGAATGAACTTGCCCTACTCTTCAATCCTACCAAAAAAATCTATGAGATCAACCTCATGGTTTTTTTCTGCAAGCCTTGTTTCTTTCTTGTCCCACAAGATAGGGTGTTATGGCTTGGGTTTGAAGTATAACAAACTTTCAAAATTATGAACTCGCTTTGTATGAAAACAAAACAAAAACCAGCAACCAAAAAAAAAAAAAGCAGAGCTGAAAATATAAAATCTGAAGATGTTAATCTGGAAACAGTTTCACATGTCAGACAGCAAAATGTGCTCTTCCCATAGCATTGCCAGGTACTGAATAAAGCTTTGCCTCTCAGTTGGAATCTGAGAACCCTTCAATTGCTAATTCTTTGTAAATAGAAACTTTGTTGTGTTCAGAACAAACCGTGTCATCCCGAGGAAAATACCTAATTTGGTGATAGTTCCCTAATTTGTTTAATGACTTCAAAGATCTCTGCAGTCAGAGTGTGGAAGCTGGAGCTGGGATGCCAAGTCCTGACTGAATATGTTGTGCTGTGTTACAAAAACAATTTACAGCTTTTGTGATGAAAACACACATCACCAGAACAGAAAGAAAACCATCATTGAACTGTTTGTCTGTTGGTTCTGCCTGTTTTTTCTGTTCAGAGGTGCAGGTGGACTAATTTGCAGCCTTGGCTGTCCTCTTGGGAGCTCAATTTGCTCTTCTTATTGATTTTTTTTAAATGGTTTAAAAAAACAAAATGAAAGGGGGGATGGCATGTTGAAGAGAGCAGGTAAAAAGCTAAAGGGATGCATGAAATGAGTTAATGTGCAATTTAAAAATATAAATAATTTCGTTTACTAAAGTAACATGTCTATATGATGTCATTGTGTGTGGCTTTGAAAATGATTATAATTTCTGTAATCTTCTTTTCCATTCTTTTTGTGTAGAGCTGCGTGTGTTTCCAGAGAAATTTATAGTTTGTGTCAGTAAACTTGACTTTGATCCAAGTGCTTGGACAGGTGAAAATGATGTATTGGTACGTACAGAACAGTTCTGTAAATTTTCTGTTTTTTTTTTTTTTATAGGGATAAGATGATTGTTTATATATATATGTATTTATTCACCTATTTGTGACTGTCATCTTAGAACCAGAAAGCCACATTAACAGTTGGGCCAGATTATTCAAGAGGACAACCTGCAGTGAGCCTGAGGCAGAGAAAAATTGGAATTTTTGAAAGCTTTAGCTTAGAAAGGTTTATTTTTTTTTATAAGGCTCAGAGATGTATTTAGAAAGCTAAATGATTTAGGTATAATATTAGCACCTTGATTTAAGGATCTTTTTTTTTTTTTTCCCTTTGTACTTTGTCCTGGTAATATTTTACTTTCCAGAATTCTAATGAAGTGGTTTGTAATGTCCATGGGTCTCTTGTGTGTTTTCTTAGCACTTGTTCTGCAGAACAACTCGAGCGGATCAGTGCTGGCCCTGCTGGGAGCAAAAATCCCCAAACATTTATGGAGGAAAAGGCACTGGTGTGTGGTTAAATACCATAAACAATTCTCCTTAAATATTTCATCCTGCAGGCTTTGTCAGGGTCAAAGGCTCGGGAATGTTATGCTGCAGTTAAGTGCTGGCTGTGTCAGGAGTGCTCCCACGGACCCAGGTGCTGCTCCTGTGGCTCACACCGAGGGTCACAATTACACCCTGAGCTCTGGCTGTGCTTTAGGAGTTGATCTGACATGTATTAAAGTATAGTTGACCCTTGGAAAAAAGAAAAAAAAAAGGGTTTATTCTACTTATTCTACTCATTCAACTTCATTTTTTTCTAACACCAGGCAGGGTGTTGGTATTTCTAACACTAAATGCAGATTTTATTGTCTTGATTCCTAGATTGGTACCTATCCTTCCATGCCAAAGAATCAAGTGTTTTTCATACTCTCAGAAAATAATTATCTACTTGCTCTAGAAGTATTTTGCTATTTTGAAAAGTGTTACTTTTTCAGTATTGTCTTGAAAACTATTTAATGCTTGAAGTAGGAAATTCTGTCTCTGCATTTTGACTGAGAAATAATTATGGGGGGTTTTTTCTTTCTCAGGTATCTCCTATGAGATATCCAATTCCCCCATTTGGTATTTTTAATCTTTCCATAAAATGAAAGCTGAGGAGTTTTCTTTAATTTCTTTGATGTGACTTTGTGTAGGAAGGAGAAGGAGAATGAAAAATATTATGTGCTTTAGCTTTACTATTTCAAAACTTGATCTTGATCTACGAAAAACTCCTTGTTGTTTAAAAAATCAGTTTTAAGACTTTTATATTAAAAAAAAAATAAATCTCTTAGTGGGATCATAACCTAATCAATGATAAAGTCTGGGAGTTTGCTTTACTTGCAGATGCAGTATGTGTGCACAGACCTGGCTGGGACGGTCAGTGCAGTGTGTTGGGAGGAGGGAGTAAGATCAAATTATCCCTAAGCCTCTTCCCTGATTTGAAGAACCTGATTAGTAAGATGGGAACAGAGCCTCAGCAAATGTTTTGGAGGATCTGGTTGATTCTTACCACTCTTCCTTGAAGGGTCCACTCCAGACTGTTCTGTAGGTCCAGAATTCCTGCAGCATGGTGGGACCAAATTTGTCATATACCCCTGTTCAGTTCTTTGCCAAACTGGAGGAGTGTTGGATTGCCACTGAGAGGCAGTTTCAAGTTTTTGGCTCTCCAGAAGTAAAGGCAAAGGATCTGCACTTTGTGTGTGTGCTCTTCCAAGTGCAGTTTGCAGTGAGTAGGCTGGAACTCCAAAAGACCACCCAGAAGACCTTTCCGCCGATCCACTCCAGCCTATTCTGTCATGGGCTAAAAATGAGGCTGTGTTTTGTTTTCTTCTGTATGTTGTTTGGGTTTGAATAATGTCACAGTGTTGGATGCAAGTTCTTTTAAATGTTTAATCAGCTCACACTCTTGCTTTTGAAGGCCAGTTCTATTCTATAAAAGCAGTTAACTGTACATTAACGGGGACTTTGTCACTTTTTTGTGTTGCCCAATGTCAGTGCAGGTGACTTACTCAAGACTTAACAATTATTTATATTTTTAGACTTTACGCTGTTCTGTGGCATGGGTCAAGCTTTCATTCCTGAGCTGTGTTAAGTCAAGCTCAATGCTCCACTTTCCCATTACTTGAAACCAGTTTTATGTCAGCCTGAGACACTGACCACAGCTGTCTTCCTTCACCTATCTTCAGCCCTTTATTCTCTGCTTTTTCACTGCTTTTTAGGCTATTCTCTGAAACAGACTGTGCTTAAACCATAAGTTGCAGGGGATGTAGCAGCTATGAAATGTAATTTTTATGTCTTGCACTGTAGGAAAGATCATAATTAGTTTGCTTTTGAGATATTCACGAGCACAAACCTCAGCATCAGTTGCTGAGAGAAGCGATTTGAATCCTTCTGTGATGCCTCCTGTAAGACTAAGGTTAAGGTAGATTAGACAGTCTCTGTCAAATTAGCTTTGAGCATAAACTAATAAAATATGTGAGAGCACTTCTAAGCAGCAGAGATGAAATAAAGTCGAAGAAAATCTATTGATATGTAATTTTCCAGAATCTATTTATAAATGGGCGTATCTGGGGTTATATTTAAAAATCAGACTGCAGGCAGTAATAAGCATTTTGGAAGGAGGGAAATCTCTATTAAAGAAACAATATGGCAAGTTATTGAAATTACATAAGCAAATTGGAAGTCTCAAGGAAAAGATGGAAGAATAGGCTGGCTGATTAATGCTGGGTTTAAACATAAACCCATTGTTACCTGTTTTACCAAACTGTGCTTGTAATCTTAAATAGTTTTATCTTGAGAAAGAAGACAGTTTTGGGAACATGGCACAAGAGGAAACCCAGGGAAATATATAAGAGCTCTGGAAAGTTTAGTCATCTTTGTCAATGACGACGTTTTCTCGAGGATTATTATGTAGAGAGCTAAAATGGAAAATTGGAAATGGGTTATCTGGAGAAACAGTGGAAATGGAAATGGGTGGAATGGCTTATGAGCATTTGAAAATGTGCTAACAATGGAGTATTCATTGATAACCACATTGGCTTTATAGCAGAGTCTATGAGAGGAAGCACTAAAGGGAAAGCATGAAGGAGGTTAAACTAAAGATGAGATGAAATGGAAATTTGAAATTACCATTCATGTGAAATCAGAAAAGAAAGGGGGGAGTAGGAGATCCTGTCTTTATTAAAGAGATCTCAATGTTTCCACTGAGCCTTGTTAAGTTGCAGAGAATATTATACAAAAATAAAGATTCTTTTCCAACAGAATATTGCTCTTAAAAAACCCAAACTAAACCAAACAAAAAAACCCACATAGGTACACAAGGAAAAGAAAATTGCTGAAGATGTGCCCAATGCCTTTTAAATGCCCAGGAGAGAAAAAAAAGAAAAATAAAAGAGAAAATGTTCTTCATACATGTCTGATTTTATAAACTGCGTCATTGTAATGTACTTCAGGAGCATTAGACAATTCTCTTTCTTAAAACTTTTAAGACCATAAATGACAGGATTTTCTGGGGGTTTGATTATGCTGGTAAGAGGCTTCTGGTTCTTTCATGAAAACATGAACTCTTAACTGTAATTAACAGGAGACTTGTAACACTGGAGTTCATGCTGCTGGAATAGTGTGGCTATTGGAAGGTAAAATGAAAGCTCTTTTTCAGATAGCAGCAATTTGTAAAGATTAGTACAAGACTTTATGTGGAATTTAGTTATCTTAAATACTTTAAAGACTTATTGTGAAGTGATATCAGATTGGGTAGGGGAAGAAGGAAATGCTGTGCAGTAGAATTGCACAATTCACACTGGGAGTACTAATCTTGGCATGGAACTGTGTGTGTGTGTCTAAAATATCACAGTGAAGCTGCTGTAATGGTGGGCTACTACTGAAAAGGTCAGTCCACATCCCCTCTAGTTCCAGCTCCATATTCCTTTCCTTTCTGGTTACAATGGACCAAGTGACTCTTCAGTGGAGAATGAATTAGTTCATTGACTGGATCTAGCAGAAAATTATTTATTTGTGAAGTTCCTCTGGTTTTTATTGGAGGATTAGTTTTCCATCTTGTCACTTCAGTGAACCAACTCATCCTGTACCCACACAGCTGCCAATTGTGATGCAAAAAAATGTTGGAGGAGCACACAGAGAGGATTTGGATGAGGGGAGCAGGACCATCACTTTAGGTAGCAGCTGATAGTCACCCTGGTTTGGAAAAAACATCCACAACACACATTAATGTTACACTTGTTGTAATATTTGTCTTGTTGCTGGTCTTTTTATGTCATTATCCTTTTAACTTTTATAAGTGTTTCCTTGTGATTTCAGATAATATTCTGAGTTCTTTTCAGTCATTATAGGAAACATAGAGGAAAACAGTATTAAGCTGTAGTTTGGTAACTATAAACAGGGTTTATTCCTTTTTTTGAAAAGGTAGAGAGGGGAAACTGCAGACTAATGAACTCTACCCAAATACCACAGAGTGGAACAGGCAAAGAATTGGTTTGGTGAGTTTTCACTTTTGACACTTCAAGCTTCTGTCATGTTTTTTTTTACTCATCCCTCATGTTCTACTCAAGCTGCTGCAAGACTGATGATAGTGAAACATGCAGTCCCTCCTGCCTTCTCTCCTCTTCCCCAGGCATTCTTGTCCTCAGTGTCTGTCAGTACTGGCAGGTGTGGGGAAACAGGTTAATAGGTTCATTCAATAATCCCTCTGAAAACAAGGGGAGTTTTGTTTGGGTTTTTTGTTGTTGTTTGCCTGGCTCGCTTTCAGCTGGTCCCTGGAGTGTTGATCCCTTCGGTGTTGATCCTTGGCAGGACCATGTGCTGGGTAAGGGTGAGACTTCCCTTTCACTGTCAGTGTAGCTTTAAATTATCTTGAATCGCCAGGCTGCTCTCTTTGAGAAACTGCATCTCAAAGTAATGATCCTGAACTCTTCCACTCGCTCATAAAGAAGCTACAGCAGCTTTACAGTATTCCCTTTTGTCCCAGCTGTCTG